TCTTGCCTTTTTCACTTATTGGGAATGGAGAAAGAGTTGGGGAGTGCTCCTTTAATTGATGGGGAAATGCTAGAGGAAAAAGACATTGGATAAGAGGGATAAGACGTAATGTCGGATAAGCAAAGGTCGGATAAGCGAGACTCTACTGTACTACTAAATCCTAATGAAGATGGGAGTCAAAGGGTGGACATAGTCACTCCCATTCAGAGCTAACATTCCCAACCTGTGCGCCGAGAATCCTAGAGTTGGAAGAGATCCACAAGGGCCATCCAATGCAGGGAAAGCACAAACAAAGCACTCCCATTAGATGGTCATCCAGCCTTTGTTTCAAAGCCTCCAAAGAAGGAGCTTCCACTGGACTCTGAGGCAGAGAGTTCCAGTGCTGAACAGCTCTTATAATCAGGATCTCCTTTCCCAGGATTTGAACCCACGGCTCCATTGAGTCCTAGTTTCCAGGGCAGCAGAAAACCTTCATCCAAGCTTTTCTGTTTCTACTTAACAGAATATCTGATGAAAAAGATGACTTCTTCAGACACGGGCAAGACCTGCCTGATGAAAGCCTTGCTAAATATCAACCAGAACACCAAGGAAATTGTGAATATGCTCCTCTCCTTTGCCGAAGAAAATTTCATCTTAGAACGACTCATTAACGCAGCCTACACCGAGGAGGCATACAAAGGTATTTGTCAAGGCGTCAAGGGCACTGGCATGATTGCACCAATACTTACTTAGTTGATAGCAACTTTTTCCTTATGTGTTTGCTTTGTGTTTTTATTATTTTTGGAGAGTATGGTGGATATTGTGTTTTTCACCCGCAGGGCAAACAGCTCTGAACATCGCCATTGAGAGGCGGCAGTATGATATCACCCAGACCCTTATCGAGAAAGGTGCCGATGTCAATGCCCGCGCGGAAGGTGTGTTCTTCAATCCAAAGCACAAATACGAAGGTTTTTATTTCGGTAAGATGACCCAGAAATTGGTACGATGTGAAAAGAATGGGGTTGCAGAGAAACATACTCATTTTGAGGCACACGTCTCTGTGTGTGTCTTGGATTCCCCTGAAGTCCTCTCTCTTCTAAGTCAGACTCTGTTGTAGCACAGAAAGCGTCTGAGGATTTGTCATAGGATGAAGGAGATGAGGGATTTCAAAATGAGGAGTCTGTGTGTGATAAGAGTGAATTGCAGGCAGGGGCGGCTCAAGCAATATGCCAATTAAGCTTTAGCATAGGGTACAGCAGTCCCAGGGGTGCCCCGGGTGCAGTGTGCAAGGCAGCCGAAATTCAAGAGGTGCATGCACACAGCTAGCCCAGGAAACACTGCATGTGCGAGCACTGAGAGCGGTGAGCACTGCAGGCACATGGAAAGAAGAAGTTCGCTGGTTTTAAGATAGAGGTGTCAAC